GAAATATTCTTAAAATCTTATGTTAAGTACATTTTTTTCTAGTTTTAAAAATAAAATACAACAATATAAATTTTCCGTTTTATTTAACTTATTGTTTACTGAAATAATAAATTGCTATAAGGATAGACTTAGTCGTTAGATACCCACCTACTTGCTAGAAAGACAAGAAAATATGCACTTCTTTTTAAAAATTATGTAATGAAAACAGTTAAAATAATGACAATTATAATGCGTTAGATACACAAATACGATAGGTGGCAGGTTGGGTAATGGGATACCATTATTGTTTTTGATAATATGTTGACTTAAATAGTTCAATTAAAAATATAGTAGGTACTAAAGAAGGAAAATCGTGTTAAAATACTTTTTATGTGTTGCTTACCTTCAAATAAGTATAAAATTACTGGCCCACTGCTATCACAATTTTAATTTTATATATTTAACTACAGCACAGTTTTCACTACAATTAAATGACGAATGACGATTTCTTATACCTGATACTAGGGATGGAACATTTCACGAGTAGCAAGTGAAAAATCACGTGAAATACGTAATCATACGTCACACCTGCTACTTAAATTCATAGTGGCTGCTACAAATCACAACTTGGTGAAATCTAGAGCTGTAGCAAACCGTATGTATTCGTTACTGAGTAACGGGTACGCCATCTAGTACCGAGTACCGAAACGTTACTCACGAATGCATTTCGTTACTCGCATTTTCCGTATACATTTTCGTACTGATGTTTTTATTGATTTTTTATTCAACAAAATACAATTTTCAGTTAATACCGTTGATCAGTAAATTGGGGAGTTTATTTATTTCGAGTTGCATGATTTCGGATTCTTAGAAATATTGCTTAGAAATAATTTTAAATTAGAAACAACAATTAAATTTAGAGCACATTTTTAGTTTTTTATCCAACAAATACTTATAATTTTTACTGAATGATTATGTGTAATACGTACAGACATAACCACCAACGCTGAGAACGAGCTAGAAATGTTTATTAATGAACCAGTGCTTCCGCGGGATTCTTCGCCATTAGTTTGGTGGAAATCTCACTCCTATATGTACCCCAATTTGGCGGAAATATTTCATGAGCACTGTCACATCGTGGTGACATCAGTGGAGTGTGAGAGAGTATTTTCAAAAGCGGGAAATTTTGCAACCCAAAAAAGAGCACGATTAAGCAGAAAACGAACAGCGGAACTTGTATTTTTAAAAAGCAATGAAGACTATTGTATATAGATATCTCATAAAAAAATCAATCATCAAAAAAATCAAAAAGCAAAAAAAAAGTGTATAAAATTCTTTTATAAAAATTCTTATTGTACATAAAAACAATGAACTTTTAAATACGCCAATGTAATTATGGAACTTAGCTTAATACAATTTTACCGTGTGATTACTCTGATATATTTAAAATTCATTTAATTTTACATTGTCTGTCCCAAGCCTGTAGAAGTATGAGGGAAAGTTCATTGTTTGAAAATAGGTTCATTCAAAGCACCATGTACGTATGCAACTACGTCAGATCTATATCTCTGCTCCATATCACATCAGTAGCGCCATTGGTGACATTTCATACTTCATTTTAATAGCAAATACTATAAAGTGTGACACCAGACCGTCGAAATCAAAAATCTATGCGTGAAAAGTAGCAGGTGAAATCACGTGAAAAATTGTTGTAATTTCATCACGTGATAATGATTTAAAAGTAGCAATCATTTCCATGCTTACCTGATACCGTTTAAATATAATTGACAATTTGAAAATTGAAATCAGAAATGACATCTATATGTAGTCTCCGTTTCTGTGCATTTCTATCTAGACAGCTGTGAGCTAAGTTAAAAGTCATTTATTGTTTATGGTTCTATTCATTGCTAAAATAAAAGTGGTAACAAAATTATCGGATTAGACTTTCAAATTTTGAGCCTTAACATAATTGCTAAAATAGCAAAAATAATTTGTTAAACTTTGTTGGTTAGACGTCTTTGTTTGGCAACTTCATGAATCCCATATCCAATCCCATCTATTATTCTAAAGTTATATTTGTTCTCAACTAAGGAAAACTTTAACTATTTAAAAAAAGAGTAACATTTTGAATAAGCCACTGAATATTTTACTATATCTAATACCTTTAAGGAAGATGAACCAAAAAAACTGCTTTGTGACGTGGAAAATACTAATAAAAAATTTAAAAACAAGGCAGTGGGCCCAAATGGTATCACAGCGATAATGCTACAACACCTAGGATATAAAGGCACAAAGATCATCCACCAAATCTGTAATAAAAACTTGATAACTGGCAAAAGGCCAAACGATTGGATGCAGTCGGCTATCATTCGTACTTTAATCTTTCATGTTTCACGCAAGCAAAATCATGTTGCATATCATAAATGCTCGTTTAACATTATTAGTACAACATAAAATACCAAGAGAACATACTGGCTTTGTGACCCCTGACCATCAAAGGAACTCGCCAACAAATTCTGAACATACGCCTCCTCATTGAAAAGTACAACGAATTTAACAAGCTAATGGTCATGTGTTTCATTGACTATGCCAAAATGTTTGACTGGGTTAATTGGATAGCTATGTTTGACGTACTTTCTCATATGGGAGTACTTTCGCATTTGCTACATCTGATACAGAATCTGTACCTAGAGAGCAGCAGCTTCGTAAAATTGGAGAATCAAAAGTCGGAACTTTTCTACTCAGAACGGGGTGTTCGCCAGGGGTGTATTCTGTCGCCAATTATCGCATATTATATAACTATTCAACCTTTATGGTGAATTAATTATGAGGCTATTGGGGGCGAGAAAATCACGAACTTGAGACACGCAGATAATACGACCATATTTGCAACGAGTGAATCGGAAATGGCAACTCAACTGAAGAAAATTGAAGTAGAAAGTGCCAAGCTAGATCTTAAAGTCAACAAGACGAAGACCAAAGTTATGGTAATAAAGCGCGTTCTACTGCTTCAGTCTGATGACGCACTCAAATATTTCGAAAAAGTCAAACAGTTCATTTATTTAAGCTCATTGATATCCAACGATGGCAGTTGTACAGGTGAAATCTGCCGGTGAGCTGGAATGGCCAAAAAGGCAATGGCAACCCTCGACAGAATATGGAAGAATCGTGCTATTAAAGCGCATGACAAAAATGCGGCTGTTAAGAGCCCTAGTCTTTTCCATATTTCTGTATGGTGCTGGCATAGCCTGTTGTGCGTACCGTGGGCCGCTAAAAGAACTAATAAATCTATTCTTGCCAAACTTAAGATCACGGAGCGGCTCTCCACTTTCTGTCAAAAAAAGCCCTAAGATTTTTTGGACATGTTATGCGATCATCTAAGCATAGTCTAGAGAAACTTATTATCTTAGGCCAAATTGACGGTAAACACGCACGGGGAAAGGCACCTATAAGGTGGTCGAACGCGATAAAGAAGGCAGTGGACGCTACTCTTCATGCCGCAGTCCAGGCATTGATGAACTGAACTGACTGGAAAAATATCATAAGTGGTCACGATCCTCATCAGTGAGGGAACAAGGAAGAAGAAGAATACCTCTAAACGAGCAATTCCTGTATATTTATACCGGCGATCTATCTAACGATTTCGCAGAAATTTGTGTGGGTTTTCGGAGGCTAAAAATCGATCTAGATTAGTCATATGTCTGGGAAAAACGCGTGTTTTCGAGTTTTCATGCGGTTTTCTTTCGCACGCGGAATATGATTGCTAATTTCGCACAGTCGGGCATAAGCATCGTGGTCAAGCGACCAAGGTGCAAGATTGACAATCACACGTGTCTGAAGAATGTGGGCTGATGTTTCATCCCCTCGGAGGCATGCTTTCCACCGGGGCTGTCTGTGATACCAATATTGAAAAAATGTTTGTTGACACGGTAGTGACCTGTTATAACTTCCACCACCGTTTTTAGTTTTGTTCTGCTTAAGCGTGTCCCGGTCAAATACGAAGTTTTTGATTTTGTATTTTTTTTTGTATTTATTTGAATTTTTGTTTTTTTTTTTAATCTAAAAAATACGATATAAGAAATAAGAACTCTGAGCGAAGCTGAGTCGCTTAGGTACTAATAGGATAATATCAGTGATTGCTTTATCTAAATTTGACTTTTAAAGTTTTTTCTTTTCAGATTAACTAAAACTTAATTTAAATTACACATTATATTGTTTTTGGTTTGCTTATACGATTTTTGTATAGGATTCCTCTTAGTTCTTACTGTCATAAATAATTACCTTTTAATGGATTAAGTTTGGAAATTATATTTAAGCATGACCACCACATATATTCTAATACTAACAACTTACTCTCACTCCGCTGGGATGCGTCCGTACTCCCTAGATACATTTTAAATAGATACAAATAGACAATAGTTGGACTAATGGAGCAGGTTAAACCAACTGTTGGCGTACCGCGTTGCAACGCGCTCATAACTCTCACACTTTTTCCCCACTCAGCTCAGCGATTTCCTCCTCTCTCTTTCACTGCGTAGATTGATCTCGTATATTTATTTTGTTATCAAATTAAGATGTATTTTTTAAATAAAGACTTTTTTCTCTTAAAAATTCTGAATATTTTGTTTTAATTACGTCATATTTACTATACAAAATAGTTTCGATTTTTTACATCTGCCAGGCGTCCCGCGATTGATATTGCATTCTTTATATTGGTGAAAGATATTTTAAATCGGATTACCTTTCTATAATATTAGTATAGATTAAATAATACTTAGCATTTTTACTTTTGTCTGTGCCCTGTGGTACAAATGATAACTGTTGACGGTATGACTTTTGAAGTGACAACTGACAACTGACAAATAACAATTGACATTTATTTGATGGAAATAAAACAATCATCCAAATATCTATAACAATATTTTCTTCTTTAATCTTTTATTAAATAAATTTTGTTCCTATTCTTGCTATATAATTAATATATGTAATATTAAGTTAAATGATCACTTATTTATGTTGTCATGGCTACCGGGAAAAATGAAAAATCTTATGAAAACTGCTGTCGTACTTGTATGAATGAGGATTCAACTATGTTCGATATTTTCATGAATACATTAAATTCCACAAATTTAGCGGATATTTTAATGTCGTGTACAAGATTAAATGTGAGTAATGTGAAATGTTTTTTTGCAGTTCCAAAGAAAAATTTTTTAGTTCGTTACATGGTATGCCTCCTCGAGTCCTCGTATTTATCTGTCATAAAAATTCTGCTCCAGATATAATTCAAGTTATTTTCTAGCTTTTACTTAATTAATGTAAAGATATATTCTAGGTGGAGAAAGAAGATGCTTTGCCAAAAAAGATGTGCAAATTTTGTCAAAAATGCCTTTTAAGTTTTTATAATTTTCGGGAATTTGCTGAAAAAGTAGATTCAAAATTAAGAGAAATAGTACTCAGTAATGATGAGTCAAAACTGTACATAAATATTGAAATGGAAAAAGACTTGAAAGTTGACATCAAGGATGAAAATGAGTCTGATGGAGATTACTTTGTTATGTTTGAACCTAAAATTGAAATGAAACAAGAAGACATCTCAACATTAGCTACAGATGAAAATAAAAATTCTAATAAGTGTAACAATAATAAATCTAAATGTAAAGAAAGATCTGAGAAAAAGAAATATTGTTGCGATTATTGCAATAAATCATTTGTAAAGCTATCAAGATTAGAATACCATCTACAAAGGCATAAAGCTGATAACTGTGCACAAAATAATATAAAAAGTGATAAACAAATTTCACCTTTAACTAATAATGACATGAATACAAATAGTGAAATTAATGAGCAAACAGCAGGTGAAGTTGTTCAATGTAGTATGTGCCCTTCAAAGTTTAAATCTGTGAACTCTCTATCGGCTCATATGAGAAAACATACAGAAAAAGGCAGAGTAATAGCTTGTAGTAAATGTGGTAAGGTTTTTAAAAAAGTAAGCCATTTGAAACGTCATGAAAAAACTCATGAGAATAGTCGGAAATATAAATGTTCTATTTGTCCAAGATCTTTTCAAAGTGAAGAAACTTTAAAGGGTCATATGAATAGGCATAATGGGATAAAACCTCATTCATGTCCATTATGTCCTAAATCATTTGCACATTTAACAACATTAACAGCTCATATTAAAGTTCATCAAAGAGATAAGTTTTTATGTCCCACATGTGGGAAAAAATTTGATTCTAGTACTAATTTAGATCAACATATGAGACGGCATTTAGGGTTAAAGCAGTTTGAATGTACAATGTGTCCAAGGAAATTTGTTAGTAAAGGTAAGTAAAGATAATATGACCATTTTTTCATAATATGTATTAGGTATCAAAGAATCATTAAAAGAGAACATATAAATATCGTTATTACTTAACAACTTATAATTTTGGCAAATATTACATCTATGTATTTATTAAAAGATATTTAACAAAAATATAAGGGGTTTTCATAACCTTTTAAGTGGAAAGTGATTGACAAGTGGCATCATTTGAGTTTGACATTTGCATATTTCAAATATTCCTGTTACCTGCAATACCTGTAATAGTGGCTAGTTTTATTTTCTGCATTTTTTTTATTATCCTTGATATATGTCATTTTCCTTCTTCACTCCATCCTGTATAATGCTGCCTATGCTTCTTACCCGAAAGAAAATATTGGTATTCTTGGCTCTGATCACACGGACATTGAACAATCATTATATGATAATCGATCAAAACTGACATTTGTGACTTAGTTTCTCTAAGTATATTCAAACATCGTGTAACAAATAAAAAAACAAATTATTTTGTTAAGTTATTACTACTAATAATAATAAATAATTTCAGGTGAATTAAAATCACATACAATCACACATACGGGGGAAAAATCTTATACTTGTGATCAGTGCGGAGCGTCGTTTACAAAACGAACGTCGTTAGTGAAGCATAAGTTACGACATTTAGGAATTAAACCATATCAATGTGAAACCTGTTCTATGAAGTAAGTAATATTAAAGACTTAAAGGAGTTGCATACTTGAATATTCATTTCTTTGCTATCTGACTATGAATCTCTTTAGTCAATGTACTACATATTTGGACACTTTTATAATAGGGGATATATGTTATTTTTTTTATACAATAGCTAACATTGTTATATAATTGTAAAAAAAATATCTAGCTCCAGAAAACTAAAAGTTAATATTGACAGAAAAATGACGACTCAATTTGTAGCGACAAAATCGCTAATCGCTCTGTTATGATAGTACTCTGACGTCATATTCGGTCTGACCAATGGCGTGCGTTTCAACTACTATGAATTTCCCATCTATATTTGCACTTTTTAATATTTTTTTTCTTAATCAAAAAAAATTACATTAAAAAATATTGATATAGGCTTAATCAAAAGCAATAAAGATAAAAAAAATCACCTTTATTTAAATCACACACATATTCCTTATTTAATTTTATGCAAATAATAATATTATTTTTTTCAGATTTTCAAGTAGGGATCATTTAAAACGTCATAATCGTATTCACACTGGTGAGAAACCGTACAAATGCGATATGTGTGAAAGGGCCTTTACACAAAGTAATGATCTTGTCAAACATCGTAGAGCGCATTTAGGTGACAAAATTTATAAGTAAGTTTGAATAATTTTCTGTAAAAGTAGTTATACTTCTATTGGGACGCTTGGAAAAAATTATGATAGTAAAATTTTTACGATTGGCGCGCACACCGACAGCCAAAAAGCAACATGATGAAGTTAGCTGATAACTGTTTGTTGCCATGGTAACCATTGTTATTATCTGACAAATGATATATAATAATATTATATTCTTTCCTTGTATGATATTCTTTATATATATGATAGTAATATGCCTAATTTGCCTTATTTAATTAATTAATTAATTTATCATTCCTTTTACAAACAGAGAGTTGTGACATTCGGTATGAAATCTTTAGCTATTTTTGTTCTGTTACACCAAAGAAGTATAACTTATTACGTGCGTACATACGGTACACACACACTCTGTGCACATCTTTCTTCGATGGGCTTTAACATGTACAAATTACAATGTATGATGCTTGATGTTTATGATACCCTAGTACTAGTGACATTTTTTATAACCTTATTACTATTTATTAGTCAAGGGCAGACAACTTCGTTCCTACCGGTTGTTTCACGGCAACTCGATTTGTTGGAATTAAAAAATTGTTATTTATTTCATGCCATAATAATGTCCCTGACCGATTTTGGGCACGGCAGCCAATCTCTCTGAGACTAGTCAGATTTGCAGGAGATATTATAGTGCACAGGTGTACACGTAGACATGTGCGCTCTCAATTCGACGATATATTTTACGATACTTTAACACGACTGGTGAAACTCCGCCAAATTCCCAATTTTGTTATTGAGAATATCTTAACAGAAAAGTAATTATTAAACTTGGCCCGCCCCGGGACACGAACCCAGGATCTCCGGATCTGCAGCCGTATATGCTAGTCACTAGATCACCGAGGCAGTTTATGTCTTATGGACTTTCTATAGAAATAGAGAACAGTTCAATAGGGATTTCGGAAGTGAAAAAAATTTCGATATATCGATATTTATTAAAATATCAATATCGACCTCGATATATCGCTCAAATTTTCAGACATTTTCGGTTTTAAAATAATAGTGTATTAAGTTCAGTCTGCCTTAATAATAGGTAATCGCATTTTTAATATAAAATGCACATTATTTTATTGAATAAGATTCTTAATAAAAACAAAGTTATTTTACCCACTTCCAATAAACTGTTTTTTACGGCATTTAAAGTTAGTGACGCATGATGGCCGTCACATACACACATACATACATCGCAAACAAAACATCTATACTTATTATAAAAATAAGTCCCCCGGCCGCGTCTTTCTGTCCTCCTGTCTGTCCTCCTGTCTGTCTGTACGCGATAAACTCGAAAACTACTGAACGGATTTTTATACGGTTTTCAACAATAGAAAGAGTAATTCTTGAGGAAGGTTTAGGTATATAATTTATTATGCTTTTATGTAAATTAGCTGAAATACGGCGACAAATGTTGAAGAGGTCGCAAAAAATCTCGCCAAATGGGAACTTTCCACGCGAACGCCGCGTAAACTAGCAAAGATACAGTTAAGTAATGTACTAGAGAATTCAAAATCTATAAAAATGCTACAAAAAAGTCCGCGATAGCATATCTCTATCTCTTACGGTTGACTTACAATAACCACTTTTATGTTAACATTTTTAATTAAAAACATTACGTTATTTTCAAAGTTATTTTCTTTAGTTCGGTATTAATCCTTATCCAAATGAATATTTTAGTTAGCTTAGTCATTTAATGCAGATTAAAATTGCTCTTTACACTAAATCAATCAGATGAATAGTTTTTGAGATATCGTTGTTAGAAGTAATTAGTAGCGAAACATTTTTAATGCTTGGCGAGCATTGAGATGCCTACGGCGAGTCCATCCCCTCTGCCCCGCATCGCTCGACCGCCTGCTCAAGCTATATAAACCGGGCGATGTAGCGCGCGATCCTAGGATACTTTTTACCGCGGGAAAATATCTTATTTCTGAGGAAAAATAAAAAAACTGCAATGTAAGAGTATACTAATATGTAACACCTAAGAATTTAGTTTTTGGTCATCTGAACGCGGGCGGAGCCGCGGGCAATGCTAGTACTATATATATAATACAGTAATTTTTTCCGTTCGTTCCTATCTTTTACGGCTTTGAATTCCGTTAAATATTCCGCTAAACAGTTTAATTGGAAAAAATATAATATGTTTGATACGATTTTCGATATTGAATATTTTGTATCGATATAACGGATTAAAAATATCGATACATCAACGTATCGATATTATTTCAACAAGTCTATAGTTCAATAGATAAACGGGCGACTACCGGTATCGGCGTATAACTCGCGTCATCTAAAAAGAACGCTGGCTGTCAAGCTAGTAGCGATTGATAGAAGCGATTTATCGGTCAAATTGGTGGTAAGAAGCGGGGCGCGGGGCGGCGCGGGGCGGCGGGGCACGCGCCGCATGCTAGCCGGCGCGCTATTGGTTCATCAGTTCGAAATACCATCGCGCACACAAAAGTTTTTAATTACGAAATAGTTTTATATATAGAAAAGAGAAAAATTGTTTTTGACGTATATTGTTTTACAAAGAGAGAGTCTAATAATAATGCAGTTAATAACAAAAAAATGTATTAAACGTATTAATTTAATTTTTTGTAAGTTGATTAAACATTCTACACTGAATCAAACATATTTTAATAATGAATAGAATTCTATTTAATGATATTCTATCTAATATATTTTTCAATGTCCCTACCAATAACTAATATATGAAGCCGAGAACGCAATGCTATAAAAATAAAATAATAGGCTTAGTAATTTTGTGCGCGAGTACACCCATGCGCAAACATACCCTCTCCACTTTCCTCCAGCGTTCTTTTTAGATGACGCGAGTTATACGACATGTAAACAAAACATGTCAGTGGGCGTGGCTTGCTGCCTCCTTGTGTTTAATAATTTTTTTATTTTACGTCTTATCGTATACAAAGATATGAACTACGACGTAGAGTTGGTGTGATTTTAATGCGCATTGTAATGTACAAGTTTATTTGCCTACAAACTATTACTTGTTTAGTCGCTACATTTTATGCTTATGTTATTAGTGGCCTCGGTGGTGTAGTGGCTAGCATGTACGGCTGCACACCCGGAGGTCCTGGGTTCGAGTCCCGGGTCGGGCCCAGTTTAGTTATTGAGTCTTTCTGTATAGTAAGTCTCAGTAACAGCCCGGAGTTGGGAAGTTGGCGGTGTTTCACCCCCGTGCCTCGGAGAGCACGTAAAGCCGTCGGTCCTGCGCCTTAACTCTCACCGGTCGTGTCGAGTGGTCGTCCCACCGGAGTATGAGAGTGATAGGAATAGAGAGTGCACTTGTGTCTGCGCGTACACTTGAGCACTATAATATCTCCTGCGCAGTTGGCTCATCTCAATGAGATTGGCCGCCGTAGCCGGAATCGGCTAGGAGAACATCATCATCATTAGTTTATAAAAATGATGTATTTTCTCTCTTCATTAAAAACATGTAGATGAATAATTTCACATGTTTTTTTATTAATAATTTATTACAGTTTAATAAGCTTATACATTTTCATTTTCAGATGTACAGAATGCACAGAAAGTTTTCGACTTCATATTGAATTAAGACAACATATATCTGAACATTTTATTTCATCACAACTCCGAGCTATGAACATTCCAAACAAAGAAAAAGACGAAAAAAACTTAAATGATATCAAAATGACAGATGACATCGACGCACAGACTAATAATTCACATATAATTGAAAAATGATTTTTTTAATGTCAAAATATAACCAATATAGATAAAAATACACGGGGGTGCCTTTTATATCCATGCTATTTACTTTACTTACATTATGTATATTTTAGCTACTTAGTAACCAGCATAAGAATGTTAGCGAGATAGAGAGTTGATGCGATTAGTCTTTGTCCTTTTTTTCCAATTATAGCATTTATAACTTTAAAACAAAATTGATCAAAAATGATTCCATATTTTTTTTTAAATAGGAAATTATTTTCTAACTGTTCTATGAATCGGACCTTATATGACATATGAAACATTTAGTTCACTCAATATCTTACTAGATTTCTTATATTTGCATATATTCTGCTTGCAACTCACATGCTAAATTATAAATTATATTTTATGTTATACTGCCTTAAATTGGCTTTAAATGAATCAGGCTTACAGAAAAGACTATGGCTGTGTTTTAAGAATAGTCAATTTTGAGATTACAACACTCAGTCTATATCTATGATTTTTTTCTGGATCTTTTAATAAATTAATTACATCAAGTGGTTATTCACATTTATTCTACAGTATTTTCTTATATTTATGCGAATATTAGACTTTTTAAATGAAACATTTTTTTTTAATTTTTGCAGTTTTATTTCGATTTTTCGTTCTCGATGAAGTGGCCTGTAAAACGACTTGAAAAAAAAAAACTTAAATTACGTGACCAAAAAGTTCGAAACTTCCGAAGCAAAAAATCAAATGAAATCGCAAAAAATTCGAGAAGCAATATTTATTCTATTTTAAAATTTCCAGGCACGTTTTACTTTTATTTATTTCATACATGTGTTTGATTCTTACTGATGTCGATTCGTTACTTTGATTTTTTTTGACAATGTTTTGGACAACATGATCTATACATAAAAATCAATGTATGTATGTATTTTCCCTATGGACTCCTAAACAGCTGGAGCGATTTTGATGAAATTTTCAGGGAATTTTCAGGTTAGCCCAACGGGTGATCCTTTAAAGTGTAGCGACTGGAAGTTTGAACGCGGGCGAAGCCGCGGGTACCGCTAGTATATTGTTACATTATTGGCTATTTTATTAATGGTTTCAAATCGTGCTAGTTGTGCACAGATTATTATTATTGTTACTTCTTGGTGCTCAATGCTCATTACTTATTTAATTTTATGTTAAATTATATTTAGTTCGTAGTTAGATTACAAATTTTAATTATATGTGGCTTTTAGTTCAATAAATGATAACATTCAATAGATTTAAGTACATATGTTGTTATATAAATAAAATTAATATGGTTATAACAGTACTTATTTTTGTCTTTGCTTTGCATTATTGATTTCCTCCTAATTAAGGCCAAAAGTGATAATATTTTTTTAAGTATTAATATCGGCTTAATTTTTTTTTATTAATTTGTTACGTTGGGAGCCAGAAGATAGATGATTTATATTTTTATGGACCAAAGTTCTAAGTTATCACCTTACTTATGGCTGCAGTGCCGGATTCGACCTTAGAGCCGCCCCTGGGCAGTGTAAAAAATGCTGCCCCATTATTGACTTTTTGAAAAATGCAAAAAAATTGATTTATGTTTTCAATTTTTAGTAAAACTGTACTAGTAAATTTTTTTAATCAATATTTTTGTGGAAAATACAAAAAGAATTTTCGATAATGATTAAGATATTTTTTTTCACCCTCCGAATTTTGCCGCCCCTGAAAATTCGCCGCAATGGGCACTAGCCCCGAGTGACCTAGTGTAAATCCAGCGCTGTAGCCTGTATGGACTACCCATAGACAACTTGACATTTTTCAATCGATATCGCAAAACATTAGGTATAAAATGGATGCCAGATATGTCATTTTCATACATTTTTAATTTGTTTGTGTAATATTAATTTGAAAATGTCTTTATCGTTGCTATATTACTAGCATTATGGCTGCGATTGCTATAACTGAATTTGTAATTTTTGAGATTCAAACAATGGAATACGAGTATATTTATTATAAATTAATTTATATAGATATACATTTTTTTTTAATTTTTATATAATATCGTCCCCTTTCTGTGTAAACCTCGTAACTCCATTTTTTTCGAAATTGAGATTTTTTGCGAAAATCACTCCTTAGCACTCTTGTAACGTAAAACAAAACATGCAATGTTCATAATGTTGATAGAATTTTTTTTAGAGGCTTTTGATTTTTCTCGTATCTACATGTTCGAATTCAAAAACCTCGTATCTACCGTAAGTATCGCTGAAAACGTTAAGATGGCGTTGTTGTCTTATTACTGAATGTTTGTAAACATGTTCACACTTGAGTTGACTGTATTTTGTTGATTGACATTTATTTTTTATTCATATGAATACATATAAAATTATTAAAATTTGGTAAAATTTGAGACAACTATTTATCAGAAATATTTAACTGTTGGTCATACACAAATGGAGTGCGACTCTGTTCATTCATCTATTTAAAGAAAAAAGAAAAACAAGGAACTCTACGTGCCAGCAGATTTTTTTCGCATCATCAAAGAAGCTAGAATGAATCCAGAGCCATATAAAGTTATTTATGTTGATCACACATTTTTTAAGGATTTTTCTAAAATAAATTTTTACAAATCGATAAGACCCGGTTCAAAAACAGGAGATCCACAAGTTACTGATTTAAAATGTCTTAAATACGATTCAACTGGGCTGTATTATAAACTCGATTACCAGAACGATTGGACCTTATTACCTTCGCCAATGATCTTATAGAAAAAAAAAATATTTTTTTAATTTCAAAACCTCGTATCTGCAAAAAAGTTACCAGGGTATTTGATGAAAAAACTCGTATCTACGTTAAATTGATAATAACAACAAGGTATCGATGCAGATAGCAAAAATGATGTTTCATTATTTTAAGGTGATAAATAAAGAGTATAAATTTTAAATTAGTTATAACTTTTTATGAAAATTAAGTAACTCTAAACGTTTTTATCGATTTACTGAAAATTAAGATTTTGTAGATACGAGGTTTACACAGAAACGGGACGATATGTATGTCTAAAATTTTACATAAAAGTGAAATATTTCTTTAATGATGAATTGTATTTTTGAAATGTGTAAATTGTTTTAAATAAACGAATTAGAACCTTTTAATGAGATCTTTACTTTTTGATAAATCTTTATAAGGAAAAGCAGGACGATATTGTTATAGTGCAGATATATGCGTATGTGCAGATGTACCTATATAGTATCACACATATCAGACGCCTGTAAAGAACAAAAATGCAAGTCATTATTAATATCAAATTAAAATACTGAGTTGCTCCCTACAGTTGTCGATATATCAATCAACGCGTTTGTGATCAGTGCACAACTGATTGAGTAGTAACAAATAAGGAGAAAAAAAATAAATAATAATACTTAGATTTATGTGTTGAATATAAAAATACTTAAAATAAATTAAAATTATTTTGATTTTAAAAATGAAAATCAAAATAAATCCGACAAAAAAATCCGAAAAGATTTTAAATTTAAAATAAATAATATTTCTGAGGTATTTCCGTGCCCTCTCTCTTTTTTCCATTTCATGTATACCTAACACTGTGTCATAGTTATGAAGTATGACAATTTATTAGAAGTCTTTCGTAATCATTTTTGCTGTAAAGTATATAAAATGTCGGGAATTAAATCATCAAAATAAAACACGAAAAGTCATTGTAAGAAAATAATTTTATTACAATGTAATTGTTTGCGTAAACTTACAAAAAATGACTAAAAATAGTTGCAAAACTTGCAGTACCTACAGCGCTATCTATTATTATAGTTCCTTTGCATTACGACTGGATGGAAAAGAGCTGATTTTATTAGTACCTATGTGTTTTATTGTTAAATTAAAATTGAATAATATATTGAATGGAATATTTTTCCTTTATGACTTATGGTACTTACATATAGTATTGCTTAATATCTTTATCTGATATAGGTATTTAATAAGGAAATTTAAACAAAGCATGCGTACTGCGTAGTTTTAATATAAAAAGGCATTTTTTTGCAAACGTTGACTTATGACAAAAAAAGTGAAAGAATCTTAAATATTTCACAAATATATATAGGACTAAAAATGCGTCACGATCTTTGAATCAACTTGAATCTAATCAAATTGTTTGAATTAAATCGTGACAGTTTAAGTCGTTACAGTTAAAATATACTTAACTTCGTTGTAAGATGGTCATTTTGTCCTATCTTTTTAAACTTTATACCATGGTGGTTTTGGAGTTAACTTCGACGACATTCGAGACGACCAGTGAGAGATTAGGAGCAGGAAAGATTTACGTGCTCTTCCAGGCACGGGGGTACTAACTGACATGCCGTCAACTCCTCAATTCCGGGCTTAGTAATAATAGCCAAGTTTAGGACTAGTATAGTAATATATGATCTGTGGTAATAGTAAATTTGCTTGATTTGGCTTGACCCAAGACTCGAATCTAGGAACTCCTAATCGGCACCAGTACCTACATGCTAGTGACTAGGCTGACGTGGCAGCCTGGCAGGTTGGGTGTCAATGACCAAAGCCTTTGTCTTTGCGACTAAAATTGCACTTGTAATTCGCAATTGCATTGCTAAATTTCACTCTATAGGTATTGCGTAAGACATAATTACTTTATTACAAAATGTTTACCGACTTCGATATCACTTAAAAGTAAAGTAAAAAAACCGTAAAAGTGTTCCGGTTTTTGGTTTGGAAATCTATATGGGACATTCTTTGAGTCATGATCATTAATAAAGAATTATGAAATTTGATGAGATCCGATTAATTTCATGAAAACGTCGTGTGATATATACTAAGAAAAATATCGAACCGAATAAGGCACAGAAACTGGGAGCTTTTTGTCAATAAGAAACTTAGACTAAACGAGTAAGATTTAGTATGAAAGGAAAAAAAAGTTTTTTGTGGCTAGACGGTACTGGTTTATCTATCAAATTATGCCGGCTAATACGGAAGTATTACTTGATAGCTGGTTGTTGATATCA